CAGCTTCTCCCACAGTGGGCACATCCAGCACTCCCCGCAGGAGCAGAGGATCCCTCAGAGCTCTGCTGTGTTAATTGGCATTCACTGCCTGATTCTGGGCTCTTATCTGTGCCTGGGGAATGCTGAGGCTCCCAGCCAGAGCAGAGGCTGCTCTGCCACATTGCTCAGAAAAGCAGAGGGAAATCATCCCCCCGTGGCTGAATTAACCACGGAGTGACCCCGGCTGGGCTGGGAGCAGCAGCTCCTGAGCCACTGAAAGGTGCAGGAGTTGGGGAGGAAGTTTATGGAAGAGGAATTCTGGTGCAGGAATTGTTTATGTATGGGAGGGGAATTTTGGTGCAGGAATTGCAGAAGATGTTTATGGAAGAGGAATGTTGGTGCAAGAATTGCAGAGGATGTTTATGGGAGATAAATTTTGGTGCAGGAATTATGGAGGATGTTTATGGGAGGGGAATTTTGGTGTAGGATGTTTATGGGAGATAAATTTTCGTGCAGGAATTGTGGAATGTTTATGGAAGGTGAATTTTGGTGCAAGAATTGCAGAGGATGTTTATGGGAGATGAATTTTGGTGCAGGAATTGTGGAATGTTTATGGGAGATGAATTTTGGTGCAGGAATTGTGGAATGTTTATGGAAGGTGAATTTTGGTGCAGGAATTGCAGAGGATGTTTATGGGAGATAAATTTTGGTGCAGGGATTATGGAGGATGTTTCTGGGGGGTGAATTTTGGTGCAGGGATTGTGGAGGATGTTTATGGGAGGGGAATTTTGGGATGTTTTCCTCACCACTAACACAAGGCTGTTCCTCCCAGCCAGCATTTCCTGCGAGCATTTCGATCCTGCTGATTTAAATTCCACGTCTTCAGCCCTTGATTAGGTGGTGAAATCTTTTGGAGCTGGCAATCCCTGCCCCGGGTTTGATTGAGCTCCTCTCACTCCTGCCTTAAAAATAACCAAATTCCTTCTTCTGTGGAGAGCTGTGAAAATCTTTGGCCCCAGCTTTGCTGATGCTTTCACAGTGGCCGGGCTGCAGGCTGGGCTGGGCTGGCTGGGGCAGTGGGAGCCCAGCCCTGCCCCGGGGAGCAGAGGGGGCTCCTGCAGCCTTGGGGTCCCCAAATCCCCCTCATCCCGCAGGATTGATCGAATTGAAGCTTTCAGACATTGGAAAAAAACCCCGGATAATGAATGCTCAGGACTGAATTACAGAGCCTCAGCATCCTCAGCATCCTCAGCATCCTCAGCAGCCTCCTCCTCTCAGCCCTTCCCTCTGCAAGGAAGGAGCAGAGAAGATTTTGTGCAGATTTTTTTGTTGGTGTGGGCTCTGTGACAGACTCAGTGAAAAACGGGAATTTTTTAATCAGGGGGCTTTGGTGGCCCCACATTTGTCATGCATTGCCATTAACCCCTCACCTGCTGTTGAGCAGCCCTGGGTGTGCCCCCAGGTCTAAACCAAGGCCAGTGAAGCAGCAACGTGACCAATTCCACTTCAATATTTGATTTTTTGAGGTTTTTTGTGTTGTGGGTTTTTTTTTTTTCCTGATAGAAGCTGTTAATTGAACTTGCCTGTGAAAAATGAGGCAGCTCACACTGGGCAGTGGCTGAGAAAAGCCATGGTCCCCTCAACCCCGACCCACCACAGACCCCATGGTGAATTTGGGGACAGGACCCAAAAACCAGGATTTTGGGGAGAATAACTCTGCCAAATCCACTGCTATTCCCACCCTGGAGCCCCACAAAGCTCCTGCAATGCCACCCATCTCTATCTCCATCATCTTCATCATCTCCATCTCATCTCCATCTATCTCCATCTCCATAATCTCCATCTCATCTCCATCATCATCATCATCTCCACCATCTCCATAATTTCCATCTCATCTTCATCATCTCCAGCTCTCCCCGAGCCTTGCTCAGCCCGTGTGCAGAAATGGGCTCTGTCTGCTCCACCAACCCTGAGAAATGAATTCCTGTTTTAAACAGGGTCAGAACCAGTTCTCTTCCCCCCTCTGAGTGTTTGAAACCAGGTGCTGCGGGAGGGGAACCCAAAAGAACTCCCAATAACCACCCTTAACCGAGTGGTTCAAGAGCTCCCAGTGCCTGGAAGCAAAAGTTTCTTTATTCCTCTCTCCCCCGGACTGGGCTGTGCAACTGTTGCTTCTGTGCTTTGTGGGAGTGAAATCAAATGTCAAATATTCAGCTTTGGAAGGAGTTGGCAGCGAGACATGAAAGGCTCAGGGAGAGCTCAAAAAAAAAAAAAAAAGAGAGGGAGGAAAAAACTGGAGCAAAGCACAGACAGGGCTGGGACAGGAGCCAGGGGAGTGGGGAAGGGCTGAGCCTGCAAGCACAGCTCCAGATCTGAGCAGGGAGAGGCTCTTTTCCCTGCATTCGGGCACAGACAGGGCCTGGGGCTGCCTGCACGGAGGGGAGGTGGGATCTGTGCCAAGGAGCATCCCCACAGCCCCAATCCCTCAGCCCTGTCCTTTATAGGAACATCCCCACAGCCCCAATCCCTCAGCCCTGTCCTTTATAGGAGCATCCCCACAGCCCCAATCCCTCAGCCCTGTCCTTTATAGGAGCATCCCCACAGCCCCAATCCCTCAGCCCTGTCCTTTTTAGGAACATCCCCAGAGTCCAAATTCCCTGAGCACAACCCCAGGGCTGCTCCCAGATCCCATCCCCAAGCCCAGAGGAGTCAGGAGGTGCCACCAGCTCTGTTGGGGAGCACCTTCCCCAGCTCAGCTCCCCAAAACCCCAGCCCACATCCCAGAGCCGTGTCCTGACCCAGGCATTGCCCGTTCCTGTCTCAGCAGATCCCAAATCCCTGCTCTGGACAATCCTCCCCCCACATTAACATCCCTGCTGGGAGCAGCTGCTCTCTGTGGCATTTTGCTGGGGCAGAATTTCAGTTTGTTCTCAATTTCCAGCCTTCAGAGGCTGTTGTTTTTTTTCTATTTTTTTTTTTTTTTTCTGTACATTCTCAGTCCTTCTGAGGGCACTCCCACCATTTTTAGCCTCAGCCCTCTGGAGCTGCTGCACCTCTCTGCTCCTCTTGGTGCTGACCCCTTTTCAATCATCAGCCTCCTTTACAGAGAACCCAGGGAAAAAAATAAATTCTTGTCTGCACTTTGCTGAACTACCACATTGCCAGGATGGGGGCACTGGGGTCACAGGAGCTGACAGGATCCATATGCATGGATGCTGGGATTTTGGGAGCCAGAGCACGCAGTGCTGCAAGGGCAGCAGGCAAATCCTGAGACAAATCCTGCAAGGAATGAGAGGCAACAGCCCCTGGAGTCTCCCCAAGGCAGAGCCGTGGCTGAAAATGGAACTAATGTTCCAGGAATATTCTATTATTTGCTAATTCTCTTCACATCTTTTTGTTTCACAATTAAGCAAATTAGTGCTTTGATGAATATTAAGACGCTCTTGCCTCATAAAAGATGAGTTAGAGGCATTCCCCCCGGACTTTGCTCCTAATGAAAACACTTCCTCAACTGTTTGAGATCCACACTGGGTCGTTTCCTCCCTGGTGGGAGCATGGGCAGCACGTGGCTCCTGCACAAAGTGACCAAGCATTAACATTTGAATAAAATAATTCAATTGCAAAGTTTGCACAGATCCTCATTATTGCCATCTAATCCCAGCCCAGGCTGCGATGGGATCTGGAATTTGTGGCTGCTCATGCAAGTGTCTGTCCCCGAGTGGCTCAAACAAGCACAAAATGTCTCCCTCAGCCTCAGGGATTCACTCACTCCAGGCTTTTAGCAGGGACAGGACTTTGCCCTCCTCTAAAACATTTCTTCCCCTGCTTTTAAATGACTTCATAACCAAGGAAAGGATTTCTCAATTTTTTTCTTTTCTTGCTGCAGGTCAGAAAAAAAACATTTCTGCTGGCTCTGGGAGGAGCTGGGAGCTCCCAGTGCAGGGTACAGGGAGAGCTGCTCTTCACCTCCATCACAACATCCCTGACCACAGCAGCACCTCCCTGCAGCATCTCGGAGCAGGGGGAGGGAGGACAGGTGGAAATCTGAATCACAGAACCATTTAACAGCACCCAGACACCTCCAGGTGCACCCCTCTCCTGTCCCCAGCACCCACAAGCACCAGCCCTATTAACCTGAACTCCCAGTCGTGAGGAACACCCAAAAAACGCTCAGCAGAGCCAGTGAGCCTGGAAATCTGGGTGTTCTGTGTGGATGTGAGCCTCAGAGAGGAACAGAAGCCCCCAGATTATTGGCATCACTCTGGCTCCCCCAGCACCAGCTGCCAGCCATCAATTCCCACCATAATCACTTGGGTTGTGCTTTTTTGGGGTGGGCACCACCCTGGGGCAGGAGCAGAGCTGGCACAGAGCAGAGCCAGGGTTAATGGGGCTTGGTGCCCCCTCTGTGCAGCAGCAGAACTCACTGGCAACCCCCTCAAACACGCTGGAGAGTAACTGAACAAAGAAATACAGAGGGAAAAAAAGCCACCATCAATTCAGCCATCCCAGGATGAGTTTGGTCACAGCAAGGGCGGTCAGGCCTTGGCAGGAGTGCCCAGGGAGGTTTGGGGTGCCCATCCTGGAGGTGTCCAAGGAATGCTGGATGTTTGCACTCAGAGCTCTGAGCTGGGGATGAGCTTGGGATTGGGATTGGGATGGAATTGATGACCCTGCAGGGATTTTGCAGCCTCAGGGATTCCGGGGTTCTGTGCTCAAGGATGCTCCAGACAAACCTTGCAGCCCCTCAGCCTGGCAGCCCCACTGCACGAGCAGCAGCCCTGGAACCCCTGCTCAGGCTCAGAGCCCCAAAACAGCTCAGCTCCCATCCCTGCCAGCCAGGAACAAGCAGGCACCATCTCCCCCAAGCACTGATGCCAATCTCTGCTCAGGGACAGAAAAACCCGAGCTCCTCCCGGTATTCCAATGTTGTTCCCATCCCAGCAGCGCGGGGCTGAGCTCTGTGTGCTGCAGAGCCCATTGCTGGGCGAAGGGAGCTGGGATCCCCCGGGCAGGGCACTCACCTGGCGCTCTGCCATGACGTACAGGTACTTGTGGTCGATGGAGAAGGCCATGTCCCGCAGCACCGGGCTCCCGTCCTTGAACACCGTCACCACCTCGTACTGGATCCCGCCCTGGGGGGGGCCGTCAGCCCGGATCTGCAGGGACAAACACACGTCAGGGGGGACCCCACAGCAGCTTTGTTTTGGGGGATGATGGGGCGAGGTGAGGAAGAAGAGAAGGACAAGGTAGGAGAAGGAATGAATTCAAAAATCTCAGCTCCAAGCTGGAGATGGAGCAGGGGCAGTGTGGGAGCAGGAGCTGGAGCAAAGGTTCCATCTCCACTGGAGCCAATGTGATTTTGCCAATCCAGGAGAAATAATGAGAGAGTTTTGTGGCTGCAAGGAGAGCACAGGGACCGCCAGTGAGCTGTGATTGACCATCCAGGTGGAAGGAAAATTGTAAACTTTTAAGATTCTCTCTAAAATAAGCCTGAAAGGAAACCACAAAACTCTACAGCCAACAGCAAAGCCGAGATTTTGCAAAGGTATTTTTAAATTCTCTGGACAGCTATAGAGTGACACTTGGACAATCTCCATCACCTCTTCCTGACATGGAATCCTCCTGGAGCTTTATCCCTGCTTAAAATCTGGAGATGCTGCAGCCACGTTGCTGTGTGCAGGATTCAGGGAGGCAAAGGCAGCCCAGCCCAGCTGAGCACCACACGGTCTGTTCAGTTTGGGCTCCAAGCATCCTTCTATCCTCCATCCATCCATCCATCCATCCATCCATCCATCCATCCATCCATCCATCCATCCATCCAATCCCTCCAAAACAACTCCTGCTCCCGCAGGAAAACCTGCCCGGGCTGTGCCAAACGCCATCCCTGCCAGCAGCCTGCTCTTCCCAAAATTAATAATTGATGTTCTCGGGAGCTGCGCGAGGGGAAAGGGGAGGATAAACAAACTCTGTCCATTGTTCTTCCCACCAGGATTTGTGTTTGGAGAGCCGCTGGACGGCAACGCGGCGTGTGCGGGGCTGGGAGAGCCAAGGGCTCGCAGGCTGGCCGGGAATTGCCGGGAATTATCGGGAATGTTTTGGGAATTGTCGGGAATTGTCGGAAATTGTCGGGAATATGCTTGGAATTGCCGGGAATTGTCGGGAATTGTCGGGAATGTGCTTGGAATTGTCGGGAATTGTCGGGTATCCCCGGGAATTGTCGGGTATCCCCGGGAATTGCCGGGAATGTGTTGAGATGTGCCGGCAATTGCCGGGAATTATCGGGAATGTACCGGGATGCGCCTGCTGCCCACCCAGGAGAGAGAACACGGCCCTGGAAAAGCTCTGATCCCAGAGATCCAAAGCTCTGATCCCAGAGATCCAAAACTCTGATACTGGAGATGCCAAAACTCTGATCCCAGAGATACCAAAGCTCTGATCCCGGAGATCCAAAGCTCTGATCCCAGGGATGTCTCGGCTCCAGCCTCACTCCGGGCTGTGCTGCCCCAGCCCTTTTTGCTGCCTCAATACTCCCTTCCTAAAGGACAGGGAAACCCAAATCCTGAACCTTCGGAAGAGGCAGGATGGAGCACAGAAAGGGCCGGCTCTTTTCTCTGGTCCGTGTCCCCATGAAGAGAGAAGGTTTTTAAGCATCTTGTGATGTAGCTGAGAAAGGAGCCGCCCCAGCTGGAAATACCAGGGGATCTCCACACTCCCAGAGCAGAGAGGCTCCCCTGCCCCCTGCTCCCAATAAATCCTCCCCTTGGGAAGGGCCCCGGTGCCTCCTGCCATGCACAGCCATCTTGGGTATACACGCAAACACATTTATTTTCTGGATTTCTCCTTCTCCCTTCACCTCCCGAGTGTTCAGGGTTGTAAAAGAACATTTGTGGGAATGTGAGTGATCTGGTCAACACTGAGTCAGGCACAGGAGCCTCTGGCAGGGTTAAGCTGCCAGCCCAAACCTGCCTCAAAAGCCCTGAATTTTCAGAAAGCAAAATCACCCAAAGGGCAGAAGGTCAAATCCTGCTTTAATCCCACCTGTGAGAATTAGGATCATCACAGCCCCCGTGAAATACCAAGAATTAGAGGCAGATTCACACCAGTATGATGCCAGTGCCTTACTGGGTGCTGCCACCTGAGTCACCCAGGCTGCACCAGGGACAGAGGGACGAGAATCACCTGAGGAACGAGAATCACCTGAGGAACGAGAATCACCTGAGGAACAACCAGCAGGAGCAGGGGGCTGTCAGGAACCCACAGCCACCACCGCGAAAACGCTGATTAATGGCCAGCCGGGAATGGGAGCCCGGACATGAAGGATCAGCAGCCTTTGTGAAAAACAACTGTTTTGCAGAGTTCCCTCAGGGCACCGGCAGCTCGTTAAATTGAGCTTCTTTCGAGTAATGAGGTCAGACAGGGCTAATAAAGAGAGATACCAGTGGACAAGGCTGGTGCAGACCAATTCCAACTGGGAATTGCAGCGCTGGGCTGGAGACAGCGCCGAGAGCCCGATGGCTCCTCCAGCCTGGGAGGGCTTGGAGCTGAGCCTGCAATGGGAGCCTTGGGACACAGCACGGGGTGCTGGGTGCTGCCTGCACCCTCCTGCCCCCACACAGGCCAGGGAGCAGCCCTGGGCTTCTCTGTCAGGGTGAGGGCACAGCAGAGCCCCCTGCCCCCTTCCCTGGATGGGTGTGAGACCCCCGGGTCGCCCAGAGCCCCCTGCCCACAGCCCGGGGCTGGGGGGCACCCACTGGCACCAGGATGCTCCACTGCACCTCTTGCTCAGGGCTCGGTTTCCACGGCAACAAATGATGATGTCAGAGAAGAGCGATGATTCCTGCGGCCGAGGAAGAAGAAAGGGATCATCTCACACAGCAGGAAGCTTCTTGTTGACGTTTGGAGAGGGAAATAACTCTTCTTTCTCATGGATGGGTGCCCTCCCGGGGCCAGACAACTCCTGAGCTGTCCCTGGAGCAGCGGCGTGGGAACAGCCCTGCACCTCCAGGCTCATCCCAAATCCAGGGCTTGTCCTGGCACGGTGATGGGGGAGAGGGGAGCAGAGGGACAGGGCTGGGCCCCAGTTTGGTTCTGTCCCCTCTCTCCCTGTGTTTCCTCTCCTGACAGGATTATGGGATGGGAAGGGTTCAGGAGAGGGGCACAGAGGGAAGCAGGGTGGGGATGGGTGGAGCACAGGTGTGTTGGGATGGGAGAGGCACCTCAGGGAGCTGGAACCGGGATCAGAGGGACAGCAGAGCCCAGGAGGACACAGCACAGGCTGCCCCACTGGGACGTGAACCCGAGGAGCTGCCTGGACCAGACCCAGCCCTTCCCTCCCGCTGGATGTTTACAAATCTCTCCTGAGAAGTGCCTAATGACATAATCTGCAAATCCAAACTCATCCCTGGCTCGCAGGGCCATCAGCAGCCCCTCATGGAGGAGCAGGATGTGCTGGGTGCAGGGAGCTGCAGAGCTGGGCTCACACTGAGCTCTCTAATACCCCCACAAAGCAGCTGCAGGCTAAGCTGGGCTTTATCACCAGAGATTAGCAAAATACCACATTGTGCCACCGGGATGTGGCCGTGTAGGAGCCACTCAAGGATCTAATCTGACATGGAGCCCCCACCACACCTCTGGCAGGAGAGTTCCCCCAGGTGTTGTGCCCAGGCAGTGCCAGTGCTGGGGGATCTCTGCATCCCCTCCCAGTCCCTCCCTGCAGGCTCCCATTAGAAGACATCGAATCTCTTTGTAGGAACTTTCCATGATTAAATTACCTGTCTGTTTTCATTACGGGTGTTTCCACCAGGCTGACTCAGGATGGAATTCCCGGTGCCAGAAAAAACAGCTGAATAAGTCCCTGCATGAGGGGACTGATTTCCCCACCCTGGATTCTGCAGCAAGGCCACCCAGCAACTCCTCCAGAGCTGCAGCTCCTCCCCACGCCTGCAGGTGCCTGATGGGTCCCAAAGCACTTTGGAAGAGCCAGGGGGCAATGGAAGGGCTCCTGAGAGGATTGCCAGGGCCAGGAGCAGCCTGAACGTGCTGCTTTTTGTAATGGCAATGAAGTGAAAAGCTGGACCTGGGTGATGCTCCTGCATCCTCTGACACCCCCAGCAACCTCCAGGAGGGGAGAATCCAGAACTGGAACTGCAAATTATCACCCAAAAGGTTTCCAAGAGCCCTTCAGGCCCTCTGTGAAATTCTGGGAGTAAAGCACCCCCAGAGTCCCTGCTGACATCAGGATTTCTGCAGGGTTCTGGAGCTGATTGCTGGGGTGAAGCAGCAGCTCAGACATCCTGACAGGACAAACCCTCAAGAGGAATTGCCTCTGGAGAGGTTCTTTCCTTCTCCATCCTTCATTTATTTCCTTCTGCCATCCTTCTGCTCCCACCACGCTTGTGCAGAGCTGATCCTGCAGGATGGAGCAGGGAGGATGGAACAGAGGCACCATGCAGAGCCTAATCAGCAGCCCCATGTCTTTAATTTATTACTGCATGAGAGGCTCGTTTAGAACAAAGCTGCCAGTTCGAGAGATCATTCCTTGAAAAGACTTTTTATTTGAAAAGCTGTCAGCTCACACCTTGTCACAGCCCTACTTGCAGCAGCAGAACTTTAATAACATGCCACCTCATGCAAATGAGCTGCTAATTAATTAAGTAGTATTCTTCCGGGGATGGATTCATCAGAATGAAATTTGGGCTGGCGAGGTTGGATTGCCTTGGATGGTGCTTTAAATCAGCAGCATTGTCTTTTCCTGGAGGCCCAGCTCTCCCTCCCATCCAGAGGGAAGCTCCTTCCCATTCTGTGCCCCCAGGAAGGCTCTGCACACCCTGGTGCTGGAACCAACCACTGCAAGGCACAGACCAGCCCTAAATCAGCCAAAACCAGCAGTGAGATGTAGAAAATGATGTATGAGGTACCCAGAAGATTTTCTTCCACACTACTGAGGAAATCCAGTGCAGGAGAGGGCTCAGCACAAAAGCAGGAGGTAAAGATGATTAATCCTGGGGGCTCCAGGGAATGCTGAGAGGGAGCAGGGCTGCTTTCTTCTGGAGCACTTGTTGCAAAAAGAATTGCTGGGGGTCCAGGGCCAGCAGCCTTGCACCTTCCAGCAGCATCAAACACAGCCCTCAGAAGGGGGGAGGGAACACTCAG